AAGAGCGGTGGTGGGGACAGCAGAGGAGCGAGCGCTTTACAAAGCGGTAATAGGAGAACTATTGACTGCCAGCAATTATCGGTCGATAATTCCGATTCCTAACATATATATAATATTGGCTGAAGGAGTTAGGTCATTCATACATTTCCTAGGTCATGTATGCAGTATCGTATTTTATACTTTGACTGTAATGTACATGTCAAAAAATGGTGTTTCTCCTCTCGCGATTCTGGGGTAAGTGCCATGCCGTTCCTCATGGTCCTCCTACCAGAAGATGCAAGATCTTCCTCACTCCGTGGCCAGATCCTTCTAGAAAATCCTTATCTTTTTACACGTGCCATGCCGCACCATGACTTCGGGTCATCGGGCACAGGCGCATTCCTTCGAAGATCGGCGATCGAACTCTCTATCGCCATTCCATAAACAAAACGTCCGCGACTCTTAGAATTCGTCGCACCTCAAGTATCAACTACCGCCGGCCTAAGTCCGATGACATACGTATGGCTCGGGGTATCGATAGCCTAAAGAATCCTGAGAAAGACTTGAAAAGCAGGTCAAAGCCCCAAATGCAATGACCCTGCCACCTGTCAACCCTTGAACACGTACTGACGCTACATACATAATATAGCTATCGTAGCATTCGTTTGTCATTTAGGTGTATGCGAAAAGTGATGTAGAATAGGATGCCGTTAGTTGTATGCAATAACTGAGGTGGCGCTGAAATCAGTTTCTATTTGGCCTAATTTTCGATGCAACGTTTACTGTTTTACCGACGCGGAATTCGAAGTTCCGCCTCGACGCTCGCATCTCCTTCGAGGCCGGACCCTCCAAACTCCCGAGGTAGACACGGCCACCGACGAGATACTGTTAAAGACTGCCATCCTTATGGGAGTTCGCGGCGGCGAAAAAGTTCGACGTTTTCTTACGCCCTCTAGAATATATTGCGACCGCAGTAAGAAACAGAACCAGAATCAGTGAGTTTACCAACGACGAGGTTCGGTGCTGAACTGTATCATGAGACATGAGATGATATTTTATCTGGTCGATGCTATTATTATTTCTTCGGTGATTCGAGTTAAGTTCGTTTTACAAACCTTTCGGAGATACTTTTTAAGACGTCAAATATTTTAAAGGAGGTAACTTAATAACCCTCTTTAGTTCATTGGAAATTATTTTTTTAATAAATGACGAACTCTAGTTCTAACTGTAAAGTATGTGTTTTTAAGGTAAATAAATATTCATTTAGAAAAAATGATGAATAGAAAAGAAGTTACAAAAAAAATTATTTTCTTCTAATTTCATTTAGAAATCATTTAGAAATAAAAATGAATGAAAAATATTACATAGGTTCTGTAGGATATAATCAATAATAATAATAATGTAATAATCATAATAATCATAATAATATAATAAGTAACAGGTGTCGAAAAGAAGAGAAATGTATTTCAATAAAATCTTTTATTTAATAGTAAGTAAAAGCTGGATAAGTGCAACAAAAGATTGGCAGGATAAGTGCAACATCACTATCCTGTCCACTTGGGGGGATCCCCCTAGGCGAACCGAGACGCTTGACCAGGAAGCCGTGTAATATGATCCGAACCGTAATATCGGTGTGACTAATACTAATTCAACAATAAAACTTTTTTATTTTTAACTTTTTCTTAATGAAATTTTTACTAACGCATTGGTGAGATTTTCCTGATTAAAATGATACCAAACACGATATAGTTTGAATTATATTTATTTATTTATTCAGAATATGCTGCGAATGATCGGTAATGAGCAAGAGCCGTTATTCCATGTTTGATTGTGAGTCGAGCAACTCACGGTGCGATTGATAGCAAAAATTGTAAAAGTAACTAAGTCGCGGTATTTTCAGTGTTAGATTTGTATTCCACGAAAAAATAAATATCTAAAATTACCACAATAGTATATACAAATTTGTCCACTGCTTGACACAGTCTGCGACCTTTCAGAATATTCGAGGTCTGTTTTCTGTTATAATGTCTTGCCATAAAACTTTGAAAAAGAAAGGACAGTCAATGATGGGCCATGATGGGGTATGTGCGGGCAATGACGCACTCAGAATTTGTTCTTGGAGGGAGCTAAGTTGAACGAATAAAAATATTTTTAATACAAAAAACAGTGTTATTAATATGTGACAAATAGTAACACTAATTTAATTAGGAACAGATTTTGGAAAATTTTCTGTTGTTCTCCTTCCTTTTTCTGTGGGGGATGCTAGAGCCCCTTAGCCCCCCCCCCCCCCCCCCCTTGAGTGCGCCAGTGTCAGCGCGGGGTATGCAAGAACGCGAACTTTCAAACGTTTGGGACGTTCGACTCTGTTCACCACATGGCAGAATAAGGGAATATACTAAGAGCTTAGTATGTCATTCTCTGTTAAAAATGCCGACTTCCGTTACCTGTGAAAAAAGTAAAAATGCCCACCTGTTAACAGTATGCTAAGAGACGAATCTCTGTTAACAGTTAAATAATATTTTTAGTTTAAGAATCATTATTTTATAAATATAACAGTAATTGTCGAATTATTTTTTATTTAATTCTTCTATTTTTTTCACAATGTTACGTACCAAATATTCATATTTTTCATATATTTATTTAATATCGATTATTACAATAATTGTATTATTGTATTATAATAAAAATGTAATCCAATTATAAGGTAAAATATAATTGTTTTCCAAGCAGCACCGACGAGATAATTATTGTACTGTGACAAAGCTAAATCATCTCGTTGGTGGTATAATAGTTTTTTTTGGCGGTACAATGGATAATATCACTATTCTACATTATCCATCATTCCTATTTACCGATCGTACCCCAGGCCCACTAGGCCCACTTGACGTGCCGCACTTTAACACAGGGGTTGGCAGTCTTTAACAGTATCTCGTCGGTGACACGGCACGTGACCTCTCCGATTCGGGACGTCGGTATTACAGCAGTTTTTTCGTTGGGCCTGGTGGAGCCACTTGCGTGGTCTGTGTGGCGTTCACCTATGCGCGCTCCCGAAGCGTTCTCTGGGAGTAACTAGGTTAAGTTAGGCTAGTTAGTTTTAGTTGCTAGATTAAGTTGTACATAGATTTTTAGTTGGTAAGCCTAGTTGGTAGAAGACGCGCTAAATGGCGAGGGTGATTTCCCATTCCAAAAGAAACGCCAAAGAAGTGAGACGTGATACTCTCGTTTAAATATAGTGCAATAAAGAATCAAGTTCTTGTGCAATCAGTGGGAATAGTTTAAGGGGGTAGACACGGCACGTGACCTCTCCGATTTTGGACGTCGGTATTACAGCAGTTTTTTCGTTGGGCCTGGTGGAGCCACTTGCGTGGTCTGTTACGAATTTGAAAGGTTTAATTCTCAGCTAGCGTGCGCGCAATACGATCTAGGAAGGCAACAGCGCCTCAAGTATTTTTACAAACACATTCAAACGCTCATCTCGCCAGAGGCATCGCGACAATACGGCTGAAGAACAAAATCGAAACATTGACGCGTGTTTAGAGTGAGATGTACGGTGATCATGCTATCCTTCTTTGAACCTAAATGATAGAATTGTCCAGCTCCGGTAAATTCTGACTGACTGAACGCGTGGATTTTATATGGCGCACCGTAGCACGCCTCGCTGCTGAAAAATATATGCCTACTCTGAAGAACCGAAGGAACGTGCTATCTGAGAATAATTGTTAGAAAAAGTTATTAACTTCTTTAAATAAATCTTTTTAATTAATAAAACTATACAGGATACGTCATGTAATGGGAACGGGTTATATCTTGAATTTGGAAAGAGATAGGAAAAAGCTGTTCATGTAAAAGTTCAATGGTATGATAATGTTTATTTTTCTATGACTTCATTTTCTTCGTGAATGCAACGATGCACTAAAAAAATGCAGATGCAATTTTTATTTAAATAGAATTGCATTTTTTTCTTTACTCGTATCAACTCCTTGAAACATTCTGCATAAAAAAGTACTATTAGAACTAATAAATGGAGAGGCCTCGGCTCCTTCTCTCCTCTTCCCTCGCTACTATTCCCTCTCACTATTTTGCTGATGCGCCTATATCTAACAGTACAATGTTTAAAAAACTAATATTTCGTGAGATATCTCATACTTTTCATATGTCTTATCATTCAACTTTTACATCAATAGTTTTTTCCTATCTCTTACCAAATTTAAGATATAACTCGTCCCAATTGCGTGAGGCTTGTATTTTGAGAAACCTATAGTAACTTTGTTTTTACGAAACTAATAAAAAATATAAAGGAGTCAATATTCTGAGTGAATGCAAATAATTTAAATAAATAAATATCCCGTATACAACTTATATAAACGTTTGCAGAATTATTGCAAAGAGGAGGTATAATCTTCTCTTGTTATACCTCCTTTTTGAGCGAGGTGTGTTATAGGGTGCTGTGAAAAATCCAGGCGGGCGTCAGTCAAAATCTAGCGAAAAGGGACAATCTCAACATTCAGAATGAGAGAAGGACAAAATGACTGTAGTGCGTCTCACTCGGCGTTGTTGCCTTTTTCGCTTGCTTTCGCTTGCCTTCAGTCGAGTGACGTAACCAAGCTAACGCCTGATTTTGGCTACGATTCCAAATCGGCAGCCTTCTTAGTTAGACGCCACCTTATAACTAATAGCTGAACTGAATTTGTCACATGAATTGCTCTGTATTATCCACAAAATGGCGGAACTGGTCTGTGAGAATGCTTTTACGGGCATCCGTTATTCGTCCTTATTTCGCAACAAATAAAGACAAAATAGATCTTAATTTACAGGTAAGGGTTGTGGCTAGACCGCTCAACTCATGATTTCAATCACAGCACTCTTTTAGTGGCCTAAAAATGCTTCGATTCCGCGAATGCATTTTGTCGATTTTTTACCTCTTCTTTGGACGCTTATATTACTAAACATCAACATAATCCCACTGAAACATGAGTTGAGCGGTGTGCATTGGACCTTCCTCTTTCGAATAAGCCCTCACCCAGCCCTAAATGTTGTCATACAAGGACGAATAACGGAAGCGCGTAAACCCATGTTTAGGCCCATTTTTGCCGGTAAAGTCACCGCGCTACTATTACCCATGTCTACCCCCTTAATGTTGTAACTAAAATTAGTTTCGCGCAGAAAATCCAGGCGGCGCACAGTGCCGAATTTGCCCGAATTCGTGGCCAAAAGTGAAAAAATTTTTTTTGCGAATTTGAAAAATCTTTGTAGCGTATTTCATTTATGAATTATCAGAGCATATTTCCCCCCTATTGCCAATCTTTGATATGTAATTCTGTTAGAGATATATGAGTTCAAAGTTGGCATTTTTGTAACGTCAGTTTTTTCGACCATAATTAAAAGTAGCTTAGTGATTTATTATCGGGCTATGATGCTAGTTTATCAGTATTGATGTAAACTAGCATGTTCTTAGTTAATATACATCCCAGTGTTATTACGTTTTCTTAATTATTAAAGATACGATAGATAAGAATACAAGACCTATACATTTTTCTACTTGATTAATGAAAAAGTTGTCCATCGACCAAGATCGACCGGTAATTTTTTTTTTAAATGAAACCTTGAAGATTACTGAACAAGTATCTGCTTCATTTAGCTGCGACTTTTTGCGACCTTATGAGTTATTATCATTTGTTTACTGGCCGCACGGTTCGTGGAGCGGGTCGTTTATACCATAGGATGGCGAGTACGCTGCTTTACCTGCTTGATGTTCTTGTTCCTACGGTTAAAAGGTCCTAGCAATTTGATGAGTAGGGCATGTTTATAACACAGGCGATGAATACAGTCTGTTACCTGTTTTGTATTTTCAATCCTACGGTTGCATAGTTCTGGCAATATGACGAAGGGTACATTTATGGCATTGGAGTTCTTTTCCACATTTAGCATTTCTTTTTGTACCTGTTTACAGAAAGTCCCTTTTTTCTCCTTCCACTGAAATTTTCAGTTTAGGAAAATTAGACACACCCCCATAAGCCAATTAGCACGTCAGTACACCACCTCCACAACATTAATTGAACCAATAGAAAAAAGTCAAAGTTACTGTAATATTATTTCATTCTGGAGACATAATTAAACACGCAATCCTTCCAATTGGACAACTAGGTGAAGAAGCTCAAGAGTCCCGGAATAAAGATATTAAGAAGTTTCGGGAGCATCATTCTAGAAAATTTTCTAGAATAAAAACTATGGAGGACATTTATCACAATTTATTGGTATCGTCAGATCCATATATAAGCAGCACGAGGAAAGTATGGCCGAAAAAAGGAAAAACATATCCTCCGGATGTTATTCAATTCTTCGACATTCCAAATATTCTAGAATTTGAAGAAGAAGAAGAAGAAATAGAAGAAGAAGAACGGGAATGATGTTTAGAACAATTTAGAATACATTTTTTTAGAATATTTTGGAACAATCTATATATATATATGTATGTTTATCTGTAAATATTATTTGTTTCATGTATATTAATGTATATATGTATTATATTGTACATTTTTCCTTCTTCTAATATTGAAATTTAACACTTCATCATGTGGAATGCTCTAAAAAATCAATCCATGTAAAAAGAAAAGATATGCTACTCAATCTAATAATTTAAACATGATTTTAAAGTCATATTGTATAAGAAATTAATATTTTTTATTAAAAAAGTACATTATTATCATTCTAGAACCATAATACTGTAAGTTATTTCATTAATTTGCATCAGATACCAAAATATTAATTTTGGCCACGAATTCGGGCAAATTCGCCACTGTGCGGCGCTGGTGTCAATACAAACACATATAAATGATATCGGTGAAGTACACACACACAAGCACATGGTCCCTATATACGTGTGCATGGTCTTACTTATTCAAAACTTTCAAAAATAAAAATAATGAAAGGGGAAAAATGACAACAATATACGTATAATAAAGAAAATATATTAAATTTGTACAAAAATATAATATATACATATATATATATATATCAATAATAATATACAATTAATCACAATCATACATACAATAAAACACACACACTGCTCGTAGATTATACTTAATATATTAACTACGTTGTTAATGGTTTTATATATTGTATATGTAAATTGAATACTTACAATCTTCTTCTTCTTTTCATTTGTATCCAGGTGTCTTGTTGCTCTATTTTAATAGAGGCAGCCTCTGACATGCAATATTTATTACAGTCTCTGCAATAAATATTTTCATTAAGAATTATTTACATATACTATAAAAAGTATATAAGAGTTATTACCAAATAAGTTCAGTGTTGGAACTGCTGATGTTGTTAATCTTTTCCTCATGAAGTATTTTTCTTTAAAGTAGCTGCTACAGATCACCCGGAATTTCAGTTTTCAGGTGGAAGCACCGACTTTGGGTTGTCACATACTTCCACACACTGTGCCATTCTCTTCTTATCCTTTCTCTCTTGGGGGAAGAAGAACATCCTGCTGTTTTCGTTAATGCACCCTCTGATGCTGCATATTTTCTTCCTCTTTCTTTTAAGATACATTCTAATAATTAAAATTAAATATATTACTAAAACACCAATGTAAACAGTTAATGTTTTCAGTAACAATTTTAAAAAATTCTGTACTGTCACGTCCTGTGACGCATTCCTGAAACTTCTATTTCATCACCCAAATTCTTTAAACTTCTATTGCACCATCCAAATTCATCGTTCCGCAAATTCTGAGTAAGCAACTCAGCCGGGTCGTCGTACGGCGAGAACGCTGACGATCCGAACGAGGTGGTTCACCCGAATTGCCAAATCAAATGTCGACCTCGCTCATCAATATAAAATAACGCGACCGGGCCCGCCCGCACGCAGTCAGTTTTTACCAGTAGTTCTCATAAGAAGTTCTCATAGGCAGTTCTCATTAGTATAGCAGCGCAGTTCTTATCAGTACATCAAAACGGTTCATCGACTTATCAATATAGTACGAAACCAAAAGTATCGCGATCAGACTAGATCATTCCGACCATCCGTAAATCGTTAAATCCGCGAAGATAATCCGCGAAGTACCGCTCAGAGTTCGATACTCTAGAATCTACACGACTCTGCTACGAAGCTCAGGACTTCGACAGAGCAAGATTTCGGTAATATCAATAAATTAATCAAGTCTAGCGCTTATGACTCTGCTACGAAGCTCAGGGCTCCGACAGAGCAAGATTCTGTAAGACTCAATTGTAAACGTGCGCGAATCAAGAACTGTACTAGTAAACGAATAAACATACATTGTGATCAGAAGTGCGTGATCTTCACTCGAAACATCTACCCTACCGTTTCAACACCTGGACGACACACTACCACAGGTTCCGTCCTTAGATAGGTTCTACTCATCCAGCGAAAGGTAAGTGAGAACCTCTATCTACCTGACAACGCAGATTAAATTACATAAAGTACGCCGAGGACTCAGTGAGAGAGAGAAATTCGCGACTTTACAGTATTTACTTAATTTCTATCTTCTCCTCCTGTTGCTGCATCTTATCAGCAGAAGTTATTGAAGAACCTAAAAACGTAGAAAAAATTTTAAATAATAATAATAGTCATAATAATAATAGCAATAGTAATAATAATAGTAGTAATAATAATAATAGTAATAATTATAATAATGGAATTCACGAACCTGGAAATTCTGTCACCACTGTCATCCACTGTGCGCCATATGTCTTCAGTTCTTTAAATTTTAAAACAATTGAAAAACGCGGCGACAAATTTCGCGGGAACATGACATCACGATACCTTTAGTTGTGTATGTTAAAATCAATGATACAAGGTATGCATGTAGAGAAGCGACTTCAGCGCCGCCTGGATTTTATGCGCCGAGTTAAAATTTGCATCAAATTCACAAGAGTGGAGCTTGGAGGGCCTATTCGAGGCCTCCTCCGAATCGATGTAAGCGCCATTGGAAAGAATCGGGCAATCGTGAAAACACATAATTGAGAAATTCGACTGTAGCGGAACTACTCGGGTATAGAAACAATAACCAGCACGCGTGCATTTTCGGGAATGCTTTTTTATTCGCTTGTTTCTTGTCTCTTGTCCCGACTATGAATGGGTATCACATAGATGTGCTTACAGACTAACTTAGCCTGGATGTAGTGATGCCAACTTAACGGTAACATAGCGCCGCTACACATACTCCCCTCCTAGCGGTTTAAATATACAGTATGCGTTATAGTGTCCTTTCGTTTAGTGAAAAAGCACTAAAGGGGAAGGTGCCCCTACCACCGTGTCACGCGCGAGCGCGCAGCCATTATGCCTCGTTCGCATGAGAAATACCTTTGTATTTTAGGAGAAAAGAAATTTTTTCAAATAAATGCTTAATCAGAGGCGGTTCATTCCTCAACGAATAAAATATATAACCAGCAAAATCAAAAACTCGCTTGTCGAAATAATTAATTGCGTCGAGCCTCGGACGGCGAAGGTGGTTCCCTCCGCCCTATAGGATGGTGCACGAAACTGCGAAAGCACACCGTGATTCCATACCGAACCGGAAGCTGCATAAGAGCCTCTCTCTCGCACTGTAACTTCTGTCCTTGTTTAGCCCCATTTCACTCCGACTCCAGGCTCGTCGAATGCCATCCTTGTCGTTTCACTTACGTCGAGATAGCGCGAAACCGCCTCTCATTCGAATGCCTCGATTACTTCTTAGCCACTTAAAAATTGTTTAAACTATTACAAAAAGTTGTAAACGAAAAACTTTAAACACTTGAAAATGAAAATATAAAATGGTCTGTTGTTTAAGACACTGCAACGTGTTACGAAATATAACGGTACGGTCTGTTTTTATTCTGTTATTTGCAGACGGTAACTGATATAAAAATGTTTTTGGGACCGGGTGCCGAGGAGAACACCTTCTCGTCGGTCCAAATTGTGCGATCCCATTCTTCCGGCGACGTCGTCAACTTTTGCAGCACGGGCTTCGCGGTGCTGTTGCGTTAAAGCCAATTTCCGCGCCGACCGATAGCACCTGAAACCTGCTTCGTGGAGGCGGCGTCTAGCGGTCGACGCGGAAATCGGCAAACCAAGATAATTACTGGCTTCTGTCGCCAGAAGAAAAGGATCTTCAGCAATTTGGCCGACGAGTGCCGTGTCCTGTTCGGCGGTAGTCTTCTTCGGCACCTGTCGTGGTCCATAACGACTTTCAAGCCCTTCTTCTCCCCCTTGCTGCCATCTCCTAATCCACAGACGCACAGTTGTGGAGCTACACCGCACCCTCTCAGCTATTTGCTGAGTAGTCCACCCCGCGTCCGAGTATAACGTTGCTATTCTCATGCGTTGTGCATATGAAATTTTGTCACCCATGTTCGACAGATCGACTGATTGGTTAATGTGCAATCTCCCGTTAATATAGCCTCCGTTTCCGGGTATGGAGGGGCGAGGGGCGGGGATTAGAGGAAACGGTTCTTCTCAAGAAACAGAGAATTTTCGCGAGCCAATGGCACGCGCGCATTGTCTGCGTTTTACTTTTTTTATGCCACGTAGTTATACATTTATTGGTCGTCGAAAGAGCGACATGTGCAAGTACGAAGCATCTCGAATGATTTTGCTTCCGTTATCATGTTTTGTTTTTGTTCGACACTGTTCTACTAGTTTCTAGTCGTTCCATTGCATATTAATTGTGTTTTGGAAGTTATTAATATCTTACAGTATATATTAATTTGAGGTTTCAAACGTAGGAACTCTTTTATTAGATACACAAGCAAAAAAAGAAAAAGGAAAGGAGTGTAAATCATTTGTAATAGATGAAAAACGTTGCGTACGCCTGAGCAATAGGTTGTTATAACTCGCGTAACTCTCCCCCGCGAAATATTGCTCATTCACGAGTCACAAAACTAGCAAAGATACGGCTCTTTTCAGAGCCATCAAAATCTTGAACGTGGATGCAGCTCTATAATAAAAATCTTCAATTAAATATCCAGTTCCCCTCGTTCCTCTCCACTTTCTCTACATGTAGGTAACAGATAATTTTTAAAATCATTTGTATTCAATAGTAATCAATCTTAATTAACGTGAATGACTATTTTAGATACGAATGTTAAAAGAATATAATGTAAAGAGTAATTGTTTATAATAATATTTCATCGGGTTAATAAATATGAGCTTTTGATTAAAGAAAACGATAAATGGGATTAACAACAACAATAATTGTCCCAAAAACATTTTTATATCAGTTACCGTCTGCAAATAACAGAATAAAAACAGACCGTACCGTTATATTTCGTAACATGTTGCAGTGTCTTAAACAACAGATCATTTTATATTTTCATTTTCAAGCGTTTAAAGTTTTTCGTTTACAACTTTTTGTAATAGTTTAAACAATTTTTAAGTGGGTAAGAAGTAATCGAGGCATTCGAACGAGAGGCGGTTTCGCGCTATCTTGACGTAAGCGAAACGACAAGGATGGCATTCGACGAGCCTGGAGTCGGAGTGAAATGGGGCTAAACAAGGACAGAAGTTACAGTGCGAGAGAGAGGCTCTTATGCAGCTTCCGGTTCGGTATGAAATCACGGTGTGCTTTCGCAGTTTCGTGCACCATTCTATAGGGCGGAGGGAGCCACCTTCGCCGTCCGAGGCTCGACGCAATTAATTATTTCGACAAGCGAGTTTTTAATTGTTATGGTTATATATTTTACTCTTTGAGGAATGAACCGCCTCTGATTAAGCATTTATTTGAAAAAATTTCTTTTCTCCTAAAATACAAAGGTATTTCTCATGCGAACGAGGCATAATGGCTGCGCGCTCGCGCGTGACACGGTGGTAGGGGCACCTTCCCCTTTAGTGCTTTTTCACTAGACGAAAGGACACTATGATTGATATCGTACATTTAAGGTGATGCAAGCGTCGAAAACTTTACCGACAGTCCCTAGAAAAATCCCTAGACGCGAGTTTTCAAATTACGTCCTCATTTCTAAACAGAATGTAAAAAAATTTGTGGGGCGTGTTCAGGAGGTTCTAAAGAATATTTGTCTGGTCCTTATATTATCCAAATCGTCAAAAACTTATAAAATATTGAAATTACTGTCTGTCAACGGTCAAGAAAATGGCGGAACGGACTCACCTGCACTGATTTATTCATAATATAAACATTTCTGCCAATAGTTTGTCCAAATAGGGACCAGACTGATATTCTTTGGGTCGGATAGAAGAAAACGAGCACCCAAGGGATGATGTACAAGTCTCCAGGTAGAAGTAATTTGAAAACTACGATTTCGTTGATTGTTCACTCGCGAAAGACGTCAACAAGGTAAAACAGACCAGAAATTTAGTTTCGCGTTTATTCTGTAGGGCGCAGTTCGTTCGTTTTCTATGCTCGACCGCGCGCTCATTCGCAGCTCGTATATGTGAATATGTGTGCGTCGACCGAACCGTCGGCGACGATATAATGTATCGTGGAGAACGCGGTACACTCCGTTGAATAATGAAGTTTCATAAAAATGAAAATTCGTAAATGCGTCGATTTGGAGCTTTTCCAGTCCAAGCTTCGTATGGCGTTACCGCACCTCTCGTCCACACGGTTCGATTTAGAACATATTCCGCACAATTCACTGCTTCTGGCCACAGGCTCAACAGCAAGTTTTTCGCGATTATCATCGTGCGCGCACTTTCAACAATTGTACGATTGTCGCGTTCTGCTTTGCCGTTTTGTTCCGGATTATACGGTG